TACTTCTGTGCAGAGGATTGAGGAAATAGGATCGCTAGAGTCTTTGTGGTGTTGTGAGATACTTCTGTACAAATCTCCATGAGGAACCGCTTGGTTGTCGCTGATGTTTTGGAGGACCTGTTCCCTGAAGAAGCAGCTACATATAGCGTTGTCCTTCGTCCCTGTCAGCCTAATGTAACTGCTCTAATAATTGCTTTGGATGTGCTCTCATTTCACAGGCAGATGCACTGCTTTTGAAAACCTCGCTATTTAAAAATGGTAGTGTTAGAATTACAAAAGATAGCATACTAACTTTGCTACTTCAAGATGCCAGTTAGCTGGCTTTTCCTGATTTCTTGAGGACTGAACGTGACCCCCATTTCCTTATTGTGGCTGGGACACTGGGGACAGGTCTTTTCCCTGAGGTCTATATTGCTCAGCTGTCTGCTTCATTTTGTACACTAACTTACTAGGCTGCAAAGAACCTGCTGAGCTGTTCAGATTCTCCTTCATTCAGCTAAAGAGATGTCTCTTGCCCTAGGATACTAGAAAATAGTACTGGGGCGGTTCCTGTCACATGCGTGATACTTGCCACTTTCTGTCCGTGTCACTGAATTAGAGTGATAGGTTACAAGTAGGTGGTGTGAATGACTGCGGGATTATTTAAGCAGGTTAAGTTCTACCTTAGGCATGCTTTCTGGCTTGGTCCTAGGACTTCAACTCAACAGGACATGATTAGTTTTAAAAGTGCTATCAAATCGTACGTGGTTCCATATGAAGGGGACAGAAGCTTACAGTCACACCCAGAACAGTGAAAGCAGGCCAATATTAGAGGTACCAGTGGAACAGTGCGCAGCAGCGTCTAGCTGTGCCCCTCTTTATTCCATGTCTTTTTAGGGAATCGGAAACAGATTTGTCTATTAAGTAGAATCTGTCTGGGGTTTTTTTGTTAAGCCACCCATGGCAGACTGTCCAGCGTAGTAACTAGTAGTAAGCAAACACATAACAATGAGCTAATTTGCCTATTCACGGAGCACAAATTATTTTTATTATTTCAGAATATTTTAAGAAAGAATTTCCAGTGTCTGTTCCAGCAGTGAAAATCCCAAGTAGTGCAGAATCTAGACAGTAAATAAATATTAGTTTCAGAACTAACTACAGCATCTGACTGACAGATTTTTTTTTTTACTGACTTGAACTGAAGCCATTGGGGTTTTGGTGGTAACTATCACAGTTGTGACTTAGGGAGCTGAAAATTACAGAGTTTCTACTCTGGTAAAAATAGCGTTAGCATTACACTGTAGTTGGTTTCACTTGGAGAACACGAGAGAGTAAAGGGTCTAGTAATCTTACCAGATAAAGCAGAGGAGACTCAAAAAGTTCTTAACAAATGGTAAATACAAACTCCAGTTTTTTTTTAAATGGAAAACCCATATGGAAGTGGAAGGAGGAAATAACGCGAATTTATATGGGGAAGAAACCAGGAGAGGACATAACTGGTTCTTAGGTCCAAATTGTACAAATTGCAACCTATTGTAAAAAAAGAGGAAAGCGGTAACAACATAGCTGGTAGTGTATTCACATTCCAGGTACAGAAATTTTGAGTATTTGTGTGGGTCAGCCCTTTGAAATCAAGCCCGTGAAGTTCTCCGCACTGAAATGCAAGAGTCTTGGTACTCTGTAATAATCACTGGTGTTCTGGGACTGTATGCATACATCTGCTTTGATTTAATGGCCTGTGGTATAAGCAAGTGTGTTTAACATTACAGAAAAATATCCTTGGTTTGATGAATGCATTTCCTGGAAAGATCACATGTCGTTTCCACGTTACCCAACAGAGTTCACAGATCTGTAAAGAACTTCAGCCACATGTTACAGGTAAATATAACAGTAATGCAGAGCGATGACTTCTAAACTCTAATTTTGATTACATCCCGGAGGATGAAGTTACATGCATAATTTAGTATTTTTACGTTTAAAGATTCAAAATGAGATGTGAGTTAAACCTCAGTAATTCCACTGTACATATTATACTTTGGAGAAAAATTTTCCCTTTGCAGTTTTTGTTCTCATTTGTAGTAAACCTCCTCTGTTAATTCTAAACTTTATACTGGTATTTCCCACTGTAAACTTTATTCCAGAAACTATCAAGCAAAGTATTTACTTTGCTTAAGGCGGGACTGATGAAGGATAGGCTGACTGCTTGTAAGAGATACTTTGTCATGTTTCCATTTCTGTTGCATTTGTGTGAGAGATCCTTACCTGTTTTTTTCATCTGAATGTGGGATTTTTAGTTGTATGTAAGCCATGTTCTTCTTCAGTGACTAATATCCCATCCATTCCAACTGGAAGTACTGATCTAAATCCCCAGAAGAATAAACGGTTTTGGAAGCCTCAAATCTTGATACCTATTATCCTTAAACAGGCCTGGCATTTTTAAGAAATGAGTGCTTGAAATACCTCTAACCAGTCCTCCTTTTTTTAAATTACTTCACGATGAGTATTTCTGTTCTCATTTCCTACTTTCTTCTTTGTCAGAGGGAAGAGTATCTGAAAAGGATCTAGAAAAACATGTCTCTAAGGATACTTTATGGTACATCTGCGGTCCACCTCCAATGATAGAATCTATATCCAAACTACTATCCAACATTGGTGTTCCTAGAAACTGTGTTTTCTTTGAGAAATGGTGGTAGTGACATCTGCTGAACAGCAAATAGCTTGTTTCCAGCGTATTTTGATAAGCTGAAATGTACAGAAAATGGACTGTGAATTATTCGGAAGACTTTACTTCATACATGAAGGTGTCCTCAATCGTGATCGTCTTCATTTAATTTAACTATAATAATTGTGATACAGCGCTGCTGCTTTTGGGGAAAAAATGATTTTATATTAAAGACAGTAACTGTTCTGTTTTTTTGATGGTTTGCTTACTTCTTATGGGTCGCAGCGTATTTTCACTTTATACACTTGTTTTGTTAGTCAGCTTTTAAGAGACTTTCAGTGCCTGATTCAGCAGTTGTCGAGAATCAGTTGTGCAGCAATGCCAGGTCAGTTTATAAGAAATAAGAATTCAGGCCGCAACTTCTGAATCTGCTCCAAATTGTTGTGCTAGTGAGTCAACACACTGCCTTCCCCAGTTCTAGATAATAAATTAATATTTTTATAGAAGTAGAGTTGCTGTGTTGTGACTTCCTTCTCTTGCCACTTGTTAAAAGGAAAAAAAAAACACTTTTATGTGGTTTATTTAAGCAAGTCAACTGTGTTGACAGTAAAGACATGTTTTCATAATGATGTTCAGACCTGAGTTTAAAATACAGATGTGTTAAAAATCTGTTAGCCTCTGACAGAGCTGTACAGAGTTATTCACGTGAACCCGTATCCCTTGCTGGTGCTGAGATAGCCTATCCAACTTGCGCTCCCACGTGCCACCTCCTCAAAAGCAGCAACGGCCAGCAGCAGCCGAGACAGGAAATCTCCGTAATCCTGCTGCAGTACTGAGTTTTAGAAGGCTCCAGGACGTACCAGGTCTGTTTGGAAAAAACCTCTGTGGAAAGTTTGCTTTTTTTAAGGTATGAGTGTACCTCTAGTGTAATGGCTGATACCTAAGCCCTTCTTGAACAAAGCTTCTTCCCCACACTGGTAGACAAACTCATATAAATGTTGAGAACAACAAAAAGCCGTAATGAGTTAGTTAATTATCTGTATAGACAGTTCAAGTCCTTAAGTGGCAGAGATTCCCATTGTACATTTGAAGACCTCGATAAGGAACATTTAAATTATTAAAAATAGTAAATCATTATTGAATTATAAAAAATGTTAAATAGATAAGGCCTTCTCTTTGTTAGTGGCTCTTTTCCTGGAGTGAAACGTTTCAGACGATAGTCAAATAGGTAATACAGCAAGTTTCTTGCCATCAGCATCCCTCTGCTCTGCCTTAAACAGAGGTTGCAAAGATACCGATCCCATCACCTGGTCTCCAGCCTGCAACAGTACTGTTGGTGTGAAACACAATTGTTCAAGGATTACGTCCCAGTGCTTGGATAAAAAGGCCTCCAGCCCAGCTGTAGTTCTCTCCCAAGAAATCATTTCAGCTTCAGTATGCTGAGTTTAGCCTCTAGTCTTAACCTCCTTTTATCAGAGCCTCTGGTATGTTTTACAGCTTGTAGGATCCCTACTGCCACATCCACACTCACCTCGTCTTCAAAAACCAGTGAGACAGTCTAACTAGGAAACTCCAGGCCCTTGCTTTGAGGGCGGCACAAGACTACTACTGTAATTGTTGCAGAAGTTGATGGAACAGCTAACTGAAATAATCCTAGAGCTTCTCAGCAAACGGAGCTTCAAAGAGGAAAAATCCATACTGACTGCAGCTCAGAACATACAGAACTTAAGGAAACAGGCTGTGTGTTGGATCAGGAAGAGGTGAACGCTGAATGACGGACCTTAAAGCGTTGCCTTTTGGGGACAGCGCCGTGATGAGGGTTTGCCCGTAAGTTTTCATCTGGTGCCTGCAGCCTCATCCACTTGGGCTTGTGCTTCTATACCATGTGGCATTATACGCAAGCTGAAATTACTCACCTCCTCAGCAGTCACTGCAGACCCAGAGGGGATGTCTCATCAAATTCCCTCCTACTCAAATGAGAGGAAGAGTCTGAGTACCCCTATTTCAGGGAATGCTTCCTTGTTTGTTCACTCTAGAATGTAAATAGGACAGCGTGCTTGTCACAGAAAATAAAACCAAGGGGTTTTTCTGTTCACAAAGATTGCAATTGACGTGTCAGAGCTTGATGCTTGAAGGAATCGGGGTTTTTTTTCTAGAAACATGCAATAAATTGCTATTGGGAAGCACTGGTGCTCTAAAATAAAAATGACACACCATGCTCCTGCATGTTTTAACATGCCAAAAAGATTCTGAGAAGCCTTTAAATGTTGTTTTCCTTATGACTTTTAAATCATTAAGTGGATTATAAACTGGTTTACCCTTTCTTTCCCTTAATGCACATGCTTTCTTCAGCCCAAACGACATCCCTTTCACAAACGGCTCCTCAGACTTGCACCAAAATGTCCATTTATCAAAAGGCATTTCAAAACACTCAGATTGAGCGCTACGGGGCAGGGACACATCTCTCCCATTGTATGGGCTCACCCGCTAAACACACACACTCGGCACCAAAAGATGGGGGGGAAGTCACACCCCCAAATACCAGTAACCTCAGTCACCGTTAACAAGAAGTTCTTTCTTACCTTGAACAGTCATCCTGCCGAAGGGCACAAGAACGCCTTCCCTCCATAATGCATATAATGGTAATAAATGCCATTTCCGAGCCAGGAAGCCAGGGAAGTTGTTAACATCCCCTTTCCTCCGTAGCCTTTCCCTGTTGACGCTTAAGAGTCTTTTGGAAGCCTCTTTCTACAGTTTAGCGGTCTTGTAGTGAAACATCAGTTTTCACCTTAACGTCTATTATTGGATCTGACTCCACCACAAGTGAAGAGGAAAAAAACCCCAGGAAAATTAACCTATATAAACATACGCTCTATGAATAATTAAATAAATGTGATCCTAACCTACACTGGTGGGAACAGAGAGCAACCCCTGCTGTTCAGCAGCTACTGAGTTGGAGCAACGTTCTCATCACACTGGTGAATCGTAACATCTTATCTTAGAACATGTTTATTCCTCTTATATTTGTGTCATCAGCTACGGAGCGACTTAAGGAGAAAAAGCAGACTGAGAGTTACTTTCTTCTTTTTGCAACAAAATACAAGGAGTGAGATATGTGTCCGTTTATATTTAAACTGAGTGAGACGGTTTGTGAGTTACGGGGTGTTACAGCCTTATTAGACTGAATCTTTTCCTTCTTCTTCCTGTGACATTTATTTTACCGGTTTGCTGCGTGCTCACCTGGAACAACGAATATGAAGTATTCCTGTAGGATTTGCATTAACTAACTGGAAAAGAGTGGCTATTCAGTTATCATTACATCATTTTAGTTAGTAGGGTGCTTTTAGAGTGAATAACAGAAAGCACTTAAATTGAAAAGCCTTTTTCCCCCCCTTCAGTGTACAGGTAAGGTACTGATTAGAGTCAGCTGCCCCATTCAGCACCGCAGGCACCTTGCTGCTGATGGAGGTTTTGGCAGGGATCGCCTTTTGAAGCCAGACGCACATCTCCACTAACAGCCTTGGAGACATACGAATTGCATCTACAACTCTTCATTCATAGGTGCGTTGGTATTGTTAGCCGGCATCCCTCATACTTTTGGGAAGCATTTATCAGCAAGAAATTAGTATCTGCTCTTGTTACGCTCTTCAGTTCCGGGAGGATGAAATTCCTGCATGAAAAGCTGATCGTGCTTTATTTCTGCCCTATAATTGGCTCCCTGAGGCAAACGTACAGAGTCACGGCAACTACAAAGAAAAAGCAGGGTATCCAAATGCAGAGCCCTTCCCCTGCTCACCTCAGAAACTGAGGCTGGTAGAGGAGCCAAATTAGGGAGGAAAAAAAAAAGTACATTGTTTTGTACTTACCTTCATTTCCATGCATATGTTAAAGCTACTTCCAGCTATTTCAATTACACTGTTTTCAAGTGCACAGATCCAATAATCAAAGAAATGATGCAACATGAAGTGCCGGTCAAATCGTTTGCGCATTTAGCCCCTCCTAAACTCTACGTAAACTCTTTTCATTATGATGCTTCAACGTTTTGGACTTCCTACCCATCTTCGTTCTACTCCTCTACCCCTGCCCCCCCGCTGTTTGTTTCAGTATAAACATCCTTTTTTCCATCCTTCCTTCATTTCATTCAGCCACTCCTCTTTGCCATCTTCATTCAGCCTTCGACATATTTCCTTACTTGTCTGAGCTGGATTTTCTCCTTTGAACTCATCCCATTTAACGACCGTTGTCTTGTTCAGTGGCCACCTGCTCTAAACACCGGCACGCGTAACTCCTCCTCCCGACAGAGTAGCCCGCATGCTCCTCCCTCGAGGAGAGGAGACTCTCGGGACTGATGCACACACATGAGTTTTCTTGGTTTAACAAGGACACGTTCATGTTAAAATACACCAAAGTGCCACTTGCATGTGCTGTAGTGCTTCACTGTCACCAGCCCGCGCCAGTAACGTGCGGTAGCACAAACCGGCGGCTCCTTCCCTAGGCGCCCAGGCAATGCTCGCTGGTGTCTCCTTCCCTTACAAGAGAGGCATAGTCAGATTAGCTTGCGTCCTTCCTGGGAGATTCCGTCTCGTTTGGGGAAAAAAAATAGGTTGGGCTGAAAATGGCGGCTTCTCCACGGGAAAGGAAAGGGCCTGGCTTCTCTCTCCACCTTCTGCTGGGGGTGGCAAACCCTGCTATGGAGCTGGGGGCTCAGAGTAACTGGCTTCTCTGGGGGAGAGAAAGAGGCTGTACCTCTGCAGCCAAACTCCCATTTCGGCTTCTCCCACATACAGCCTCTCTACTGTCGGTGTATTTCCCCGCGTTGGTCAGGTTTGCAGATACGGGAGTTAAGCTCTGGCCTAGCCCTTTCTCTTCTCCATTCAGGCTTCAAATAGGGTGACGACTGCTTTCTTTGATTTCCTTGGCCACTCTGGTGGTCTTGCTTTTCCAAGCCCAAAATGGCAAACGCAGCTGAGATACACAGTGCACATACCAGCTGCAGAGCCTTGCTGCTGTGCCCCAAGCCTGTCTTCCCGAGCCCTCACCCGTCTGTGTCGTCCCTCGACCAGGTGATTTAAGCTCTCGCAGTTTGCTTGAGGCAGGGGCACGGCGAAAGCACGCGCACAACTCCAGACAGCTGAACTAACGCAGAGTAATTCAGAGTCACACGTTGGAATTGATTGTGCGACTATAAAACCAAACCCGTTTGCTCTTTTGAAACTGAAACCCCATGAATTTTCTCTTCGAATCTTCCCAACCCTAAGCCGCTCCGGCATTTACAGGAACAAAGTTTTAAATCAAGCTTTCACTTAAACAAGTGCAACTTTCTCGGAGACCCTTACATGCTCTGTCAGACCGGTGACGGAAAACCAAGTAGCAGTTCCCTAGCACAAGTAACTACTGCTAATTCAGTAGTAAGGAGCTTCCCTTCTCATCACCACCTGGAGACCCCGAGTTCCTCCTTTTGGGGACAAATCATTGGCAGTTGTGCAAGTACCACAAATAAGAAATCTCCTCATGACCTTTATTTTTCTTTAGTTTTGTAAGCAGTTGGGAGCCAGTGAAACAAGGTCAAATTGCAATCCAATAAATGCTTTCTGTTCAAAAGTATTTGGAGAGTTCTTTCTACTGCAACACTTTCTACTAGTAAAATGTTCCTTAAATACAGTATATTTTTAAACAAGATTAATACAAAGCTAGTCCTTGAAATAGAAACCATCGGTAGAAGGATCTTATGCTAATAAAATGTGCAAACAGGAACTTAAAACTGTACAGAGCAGAGACCTTGTATTTAAGTAGAACAATTGAAAGAATAGCTTTTTCAGGCTATTAGAAATTCAGTCTATATTCAGAAATAATTGAAAAATACCACCAGCAATTGAAGTTACTTATAGTCCTGTGGTTAAAACACTGAATTCAAAATAAAAAATTCTTTAATCAATGAAAAGAATACCACCGTGCTTTGTGTGTGTGAAGTGGAATGGTTTAAGCTCGAGTGCTGTTGTCCCAGTTAGATGAATATTCGAAGTGGTATGGTTTTTCCCTTCTCTGCAATGTTCTGCCAATTGTAGAATTTCTAGGCATGGAAGATGCGTTTGAACTGCTCTAGGTGCACATCTGACGATACAGAGCGGAGTTCTCTGTACGGCATTTTGATTTGAAGACTAAGGAAAACTATCAGGCACAAATCAGTCAAGGGAAAAAGCAGCAAATCACTTACGGAGCTCTTGCTTTAGAAAAACAAAAACCAGGGGAATTTAGAACGTATTTCTCACCTTGTTACCAGATTACTTGACCACTTCTAAATAGAGGTGAAGGTGGTTAAGAAGAGAGAAACAACTACTGCCTACGTTTTTAAGAACACTGAAGTACTTGGAGAACATTGGCACAGAAACTATATTACACATGTACATTCGCCTGTAAGTATTTCAATGTAGGCCCAAACGGAAAAATGTTGGTAATTCTACAGAATTCTATTAGGTATCGGTCCCAAAATATGGTTACTTGTATAAAAAAGTCCCTCTATTAAGGTACTTGCATTTTGTAAGGTCATTTAGGGACATTTGTTGGCCACCGGCCCCTGCTATTTGTGTACAATTTCAGTTCTTTCCCATGACATATTTTGTAACAGCGAGGAAGTGGTGCAAAATCACCTGAAGGGGCAGGAGGTAACATCTAATTCCAATTTCAGTGAAGGTAGCCACGGAAAGACATACATTTTCCCTGCCTTTTTTCCCCTGTTTTTCTATCTTCTGACCCCCCCTCAACTATTGAGGAACTGCTGCTGGCAAAGAGAACATCATAAATGCGAGTGAATAGGAAATTGCATTTTATATTGGAATCATCTGCCTCACACAAATTTACCATGGGGTTTGTTTACCCAGCGTGCCTGAAATAGGCACACGATTTGCTTATTGCTTAAAGATCTGCAAGAGTTAATAAAATTCAGAAGAGAGTATCCTCAGTAAGTATGCTATTGGAGATAAATACAGATAACAGCCATCTCATCTAAGCTTTCCAATTTCAGCCTGTTTAAGCCCAAATACCATTTTCATGACACCACAAGCTTAACGACAAAATAACATATGGCACAATAACTTCTCCAGCAAAGAGACGTGGACAAGGAAGTATTCTAGAGTAAAATCTGACCGAGTGGAACGTTTGCCCTGACCTAGACACAAACCTAGTTTGCTAAGGTCGGTCACAGAAAAACCCGAGTATGTTTTCCGTTCCCGCTTTTTAATTTAAAGTGTCGCTCTAGGAGATAGCGTAGGGCATTTCCCACTCTGTAAAGTGGACGGAATTTTGCAATTAATTTCTGTGGGTTAAAAAGCTCGGGCCCTGTAGTTACTTAAAACATCAAGGTATCGGTGTGCTAAGGAGCAAAGCAAGTACAATGCCAAAGAAATGCTGAATTGAGCAATGGAGTTGGCGATGGTGATTAGCAAAATCCGTTCTTTTGCCTTGGCAAAGTATCAGCAACTCACAGGACTCTTTGAAGCGCAGGTCTTATTCACAGGCGCAGTCCACGTCCAGCCCTGCCCCGCCGCTGCCATTGCAGCCGTCCGACACTGGAGCACAGTCTCCCCCCTCTGTTGCCTGATCCGCGCAGCAGCCAGACGCGCTCTGGTCGAGGCAGACCTGTGCGTCATTGTCATCAGTATCGTAACTGGCAGGACATGTTTCTTCTGACGCCCCGTCGTGATGGGTACCTCTGTCGTTGGTCCCAGCTACCTCATCTCCCAAGTCTATGACATCATCCAGCTGCTGTTCTGGATCAGGCTTGGCTGCTGTTGAGATTTGTGCTTCTAAGTTTCTTGTGTTCTCTGTGACTTCAAATTCCTGCTTCTCCTCTGCCATTTGCTTCTCCCTAGCACTTAATTTAGCCTTTGTGGATTTCTTCATTTGTTTGTTGTGCATGTCTTCTTTGGAGAACCTCCAGTGAAACTACAAGTAAGAGATCCAAATGTTAAAGACCAGTAGAGACAATCTCACATGGACATTTACTTTCCTGACTAGAAATGTTTTTATGATTTAGTTTTAATTCAAAGACTAGTTTGATCAAAAAGACCTAAGATTAAAAAAAACCTGCATGACTAAATCAGACGGCTTAACATCAGTTGTGCCTACACGTATGTGTCTATTACACAGGGAAAAGAGACCGTGATGCCTTCTGCTTCTGCTGTTTCACGCGCCTAGTGGGTTCCTCTCCACACGCAGTGTCACTGTTGAGGCCCACAGCATCCTGGCAGACAACCTGCACTGTGTGCAAAGCTGCACAAGTGCAGACGGAGGAAGCAATCCTATGGCGTTATTCCAATGTTTTTCACCAGGTTAGCAGCAGAACTAACACTACACCCAAGACTATACCCAAACAGTAAAATACTCTGAACCATTTCTATGAATGGTTTTTGATCAGAAAGCATGAAGCTGCCTCTTGCAGCACTCGCTACAAGACTTACCACAGCTGCCATTTCAGAACCACCGTTTTAACTACTATTAAAAAAAAAAAAAAAAAGGAACTAGCAGTACCTTGAAATACTGACTCGACAGGTGTAACATATAAAGTCTGACAAATACGGCACTAATATATCTGCTTCATTTGTCAAAAAATAAATAGACCTTCCCAAGGAAAGCCAGACCACGTTCCAAGCCACTGCTGAGCCATCCTACACGAGTTTGCTACGTACATGTGAATGTGCACAACTGTTTCATCAGCAGTGTTCGCGCTGATGGAAACCCAGGGACAGGTTAGGAGGCGATGTTTGGATGGCATAAATAATCTCATCAGGCAGGACATTCAGCAAATTCAGCTGTGGTCCAAAAGCCATTTTTTCCAGCGCAACCAGGTCTGTGCCAAAGTTGGTCAAAAAAAGGACTCGTGTTCGTAAATTCTTGATCTAGCTATTTATTCCTTAATCAAAAAGCCATTCAAAACCCATTAAGTTTATTAGATTAGAAAGATGGAGCAATGCTCTTTCCTTCTGCTAGCCAGAAATTAATGTAAAAAGAA